CAGTGTTGTGTTGCTGTCTCAGTGTTGTGTTGCTGTATGTCTGTGTTGTGTTGCTGTGTGTCTCAGTGTTGTTGTGTTGCTATGTGTCTCAGTGTTGTGTTGTTGTATGTTTGTGTTGCTGTGTGTCTCAGTGTTGTTGTGTTGCTGTGTGTCTCAGTTTTGTGTTGCTGTGTGTCTCAGTGTTGTGTTGCTGTGTCTCAGTGTTGTTGTGTTGCTGTGTTGTTGTGTCTCAGTGTTGTGTTGTTGCTGTGTCTCAGTGTTGCTGTGTTGTTGTGTCTCAGTGTTGTGTTGTTGTGTTGCTGTGTGTCTCAGTGTTGTGTTGCTGTGTCTCAGTGTTGTTGTTGTGTCTCAGTGTTGTGTTGTTGTGTCTCAGTGTTGTTGTGTCTCAGTGTTGTGTTGCTGTGTCTCAGTGTTGTGTTGTGTCTCAGTCTTGTGTTGTGTCTCAGTGTTGTGTTGTTCTGTTGCTGTGTCTCAGTGTTGTGTTGTTGCGTTCTGCGTTGTGCTGTTGTGTTCCAGTGTTGCGTCTCAGTGTTGTGCTGTTGTGTCTCAGTGTTGTGTTGCTGTGTCTCAGTGTTGTTGTGTCTCAGTGTTGTGTTGTTGTGTCTCAGTGTTGTTGTGTCTCAGTGTTGTGTTGCTGTGTCTCAGTGTTGTTGTGTCTCAGTGTTGTGTTGCTGTGTCTCAGTGTTGTTGTGTCTCACTGTTGTGTTGTTGTGTCTCAGTGTTGTTGTGTCTCAGTGTTGTGTCTCAGTGTTGTTGTGTTGCTGTGTCTCAGTGTTGTGTCTCAGTGTTGTGTTGTTGTGTCTCAGTGTTGTGTCTCAGTGTTGTGTTGTTGTGTCTCAGTGTTGCTGTGTTGTTGTGTCTCAGTGTTGTGTTGTTGTGTGTCTCAGTGTTGTGTTGCTGTGTCTCAGTGTTGTTGTTGTGTCTCAGTGTTGTGTTGTTGTGTCTCAGTGTTGTTGTGTCTCAGTGTTGTGTTGCTGTGTCTCAGTGTTGTGTTGTGTTGTGTCTCAGTGTTGTGTTGTGTCTCAGTGTTGTGTTGTTCTGTTGCTGTGTCTCAGTGTTGTGTTGTTGTGTCTCAGTGTTGTGTCTCAGTGTTGTGTTGCTGTGTCTCAGTGTTGTTGTGTCTCAGTGTTGTTGTGTCTCAGTGTTGTGTTGTTGTGTCTCAGTGTTGTTGTGTCTCAGTGTTGTGTTGTTGTATCTCAGTGTTGTTGTGTCTCAGTGTTGTGTCTCAGTGTTGTTGTGTTGCTGTGTCTCATTGTTGTGTTGTTGTGTCTCAGTGTTGTTGTGTCTCAGTGTTGTGTTGTTGTGTCTCAGTGTTGTTGTGTCTCAGTGTTGTGTTGTTGTGTCTCAGTGTTGTTGTGTCTCAGTGTTGTTGTGTCTCAGTGTTGTGTTGCTGTGTCTCAGTGTTGTGTCTCAGTGTTGTGTTGCTGTCTCAGTGTTGTGTTGTGTCTCAGTGTTGTGTTGTTGTGTCTCAGTGTTGTTGTGTCTCAGTGTTGTTGTGTCTCAGTGTTGTGTTGCTGTGTCTCAGTGTTGTGTCTCAGTGTTGTGTTGCTGTCTCAGTGTTGTGTTGCTGTATGTCTGTGTTGTGTTGCTGTGTGTCTCAGTGTTGTTGTGTTGCTATGTGTCTCAGTGTTGTGTTGTTGTATGTCTGTGCTGTGTTGCTGTGTGTCTCAGTGTTGTTGTGTTGCTGTGTGTCTCAGTTTTGTGTTGCTGTATGTCTCAGTGTTGTGTTGCTGTGTCTCAGTGTTGTTGTGTCTCAGTGTTGTGTTGTTGCTGTGTCTCAGTGTTGCTGTGTTGTTGTGTCTCAGTGTTGTGTTGTTGTGTCTCAGTGTTGTGTTGCTGTGTCTCAGTGTTGTGTTGTGTCTCAGTGTTGTGTTGTGTCTCAGTGTTGTGTTGTGTCTCAGTGTTGTGTTGTTCTGTTGCTGTGTCTCAGTGTTGTGTTGTTGTGTCTCAGTGTTGTGTCTCAGTGTTGTGTTGCTGTGTCTCAGTGTTGTTGTGTCTCAGTGTTGTTGTGTCTCAGTGTTGTGTTGTTGTGTCTCAGTGTTGTTGTGTCTCAGTGTTGTGTTGTTGTATCTCAGTGTTGTTGTGTCTCAGTGTTGTGTCTCAGTGTTGTTGTGTTGCTGTGTCTCATTGTTGTGTTGTTGTGTCTCAGTGTTGTTGTGTCTCAGTGTTGTGTTGTTGTGTCTCAGTGTTGCTGTGCCCCAGTGCTGTGTTGTTGTGTTCAGTGTTGCTGTGTCTCAGTGTTGTTGTGTCTCACTGTTGTGTTGTTGTGTCTCAGTGTTGTGTCTCAGTGTTGTTGTGTTGTTGTGTTGCTGTGTCTCAGTGTTGTGTTGCTGTGTCTCAGTGTTGTGTCTCAGTGTTGTGTTGTTGTGTCTCAGTGTTGTGTTGTTGTGTCTCAGTGTTGTGTTGTTGTGTCTCAGTGTTGTGTTGTTCTGTTGCTGTGTTGTTGTGTCTCAGTGTTGTGTTGCTGTGTGTCTCAGTGTCTCTCTGTTGTTGTGTCTCAGTGTTGTGTTGTTCTGTTGCTGTGTTGTTGTGTCTCAGTGTTGTGTCTCAGTGTTGTGTCTCAGTGTTGTGTTGCTGTGTCTCAGTGTTGT